CGCAATGCTTCTTCTTCTTCTTCCATTTCTTCTCATCCCATGATGCAGCTGCCACCGACGACGGTTCTCCTGTCACCGTCAGATAGTCATCGTCATCGCAATGCTTCTTCTTCTTCTTCCATTTCTTCTCATCCCATGATGCAGCTGCCACCGACGACGGTTCTCCTGTCACCGTCAGATAGTCATCGTCATCGCAATGCTTCTTCTTCTTCTTCCATTTCTTCTCATCCCATGATGCAGCTGCCACCGACGACGGTTCTCCTGTCACCGTCAGATAGTCATCGTCATCGCAATGCTTCTTCTTCTTCTTCCATTTCTTCTCATCCCATGATGCAGCTGCCACCGACGACGGTTCTCCTGTCACCGTCAGATAGTCATCGTCATCCCAATGCTTCTTCTTTTTACACTTCGTCTTCTCCCACGAAGCGACTCGTACTACGTCAGGCGCGTCGGTTGCTGCAAAAATGAAAGTGAGAGACGATGCAAACTTGAGTGAGATGCATACAAATGCCAGAGGAGAAGTAATCAGCTCAAATCTCTAATAATGCAAGTGAAAAGCCCAACTGCATACCTATTTTGTGCGTCTTCTCCGGAATGTAGCCAGCTTCAATCATTACACAGGCAATGGCCAAAACCCCAATCAGCACGGCTAATCGAACCATGGCGAACTCGACAAGGGGAGAATGCTGTTGTGCAGTGAGTAATCCACCCCGAATTCACTGCTTATTCTAGCTCTCCATCACACATTTTATACAGTCAGAACGGCCGAACCAGGTCCAGTTCGAACTGTCATTGGTTCACCGAATCCCATCACCGCAAGTGTGTGTCTGAACCAATCAGATGACGATTGAGCACCAATTGGTCAATTGCTCAACCCAAAGTGGAAAGTGTCCGCCGTAAGTCTAACACCAACCATAACCCTTAAATCCTTAAATTCTTCGTTTACCAAGAACTGAAATCACCTCAAATTGTCTTAAAGTAGAATGGATTTAATACCGGTTATCAGATTGACTGTCCGGATGAGGTAGATCAAATGGTCGTTTGAGAAAACCTAATCTGGTAGCGTGATTTGTGGGAGGCAGGGTATTCTAGTTGTACTACGACTACGCAATTTCTCATCGCGGACCGAAAGAGATATACATACATATGAGTTGTGAGAACGAACCTCACCGTTGTTCTTCTACTACTTGTGAATGAACCAAACTGGCTGGCATTTGCAGTAATCGTTTCTCAATGATGGATTGCGCCGAACCAGTTCGATCTTTATCGAACACCATTGGTTGGATGGAGCCACAGTTAGCTGGATTCGGACAACTGTATGCGAAATGTGAAAGCAAATGAGCAGATCACACGGAGACAAGGCAGGCAGATACCCGCTGAGCCATTAGGTAGAGTAGGTGTCTCTCGTCTTTGGTTGGTTGGGGTCGAAACCACTCGGGAACTGAATGAGTCGAAACAAGTGAAGGCCACTTGAATTCAGGTAACCGACAGAAGTGGCGTTCTTCTTGTCTCCCTTGTATCAGACCGGAATGATAGAAACAGTGTGTCTTTGTTGTACGATTGTATGCGCTCGTGTCAATTTGGACAGTACACTTTGTCTGCCCTTAGAGCACTGGCCCAATCCCCATCATCTTCACATATTACCACTTAGTTTGAATGCAATAAGAGTTTGGCGGCGATCAGTGATCTTTCCATCATTGTGTTACGTCATAAGAAGAGGATGTTATGGAAATTGGTGATGAATATGCTGATCAGGATGATCATGACGTTGATGCTGTTCGATTGTCCAACCTCCGATTTTATACGGCAGGATGATATTTCCGAAAACAGGATCGCTTAAAACGACCGCGAAATGAAGTGAGTGTTTAGAAGGTAAACGGGAATAGAATGAGAAGTTCACAGTTTGCGACTACCGAGTAAATCATTGGTTACATAGGTGCAAATTCATTGATCAAATGTGTGACATCTTTTATGGATTAATCACCTCATTCTATTTCCCTCAAATTTCACACATGACCGCATTTTGTAAGAAAGTTTATCCAAAGAACAATGATTCGCCTTGATCAAGGTTCCCCACGTTAACCGAAACGTCGGCTTACTTTCACCTGTACCGACAGCGTTTTGTTTTCGAATTTACAACTTATATAAAACGATCTATTTTCTTCTCATGGAGTTCGCGCCGAAGAATCTTATGGTCGAACGGATCTGTCAATCAACGTTCTGTTCGAGAAGTGAGAGACTGCCGTATCAGTCTTACCAAGCCTTACTGCCTCCAAATTTTCAATGAAAGAACAAAGTTTTTCAACATTTAGCCAAAGATGTGTATGGTTCTTGAATTTCGCATGGCTGAGTAGAATTCTCGGTTAGGTGTTCAAAACACCTCACGAGAAGTTAGAATTCATATATAGTGGTTGTGGTGTTGGTTGTGATGCTCTACTTGGATATTATGTCTTCCTTCCAAGCTTATGTTCCAAAATCCAAAGGGAAACTTCCGCGATGGGAAAATAATGGGTATTCGGCGCGTCTTCAATTTGAACTGCAGCACAATGGTAAGCTTAAAGCTGAAAGTAGATGCTATTGTTAGTTTTACTGGTGTCATCGACTGGTTTGAGGTTTGCCAGATAAAGTCAGTCTCTCCCTATCTCTTTGTCTGCAACTGTGAGATGTATTGAGTTGGTAAAGTGAGTTTTTGGCGAATTCGAACATATACTGTGCTCACGTTTGTTATCACTTCTTCCATGTAATCAACGGCTGCAAACTGTCTGTTGAATGACAGAACTTGGAAACAGAATGAAATCCGTGATGGTTCATGGTTTGCATTTGAATATCTCTATATGGAAGGACCAAAACCCTTTTGGGTTCTACTCAAGGCAGTTTCGTTCAGGTCGGGAAGACCAGATTTCGATGTATCCAACAATATAGAACTCTGACTTTCCATGCCGTTTACTGATCGTCCTGTAAATCACCACGAACCTCAGAAGCCATTCTTCTCAATTACCACAGCAAAACTGTCAACTAGGATGCCAGCGTCACTCACTTGCCCTTAGTTTGTAATGGTTAAAATTTCCTTCTACTTCATGTTATTTCTGCGCCAATAGTGCAGGAAACAATGCAAATCTATGACGTTCCTCATCTGCCTTAGATCAATAAATCCATCCTACTATATCAAAACCCTCAGGGAACAAGAAAAGAAACTGTGTGTAAGTCTTCCCCATGATATTGGTTTGACCTCATTCAAATTGAGATATCTGTCACACGTTTGTGTACTCTATCATTTACTGTTTGATGGCCATTGAGCAATAAATTGGTCCGACTTTCAGATGGCCGTAATGCCATTCTCCACTCAATGTGCGTTGAAAGTCGCTCATAATGCGAGAACCATCACCCAGTACCCCATAGGTTGTAATTGATGTAAAATTTATTTTGCGCATTAAAACCGTCGTCCATTCAGTTGTCAACAGATTCACAGGCACGCCGCTCCCATGGAATAAACTTCTGACCACTAGCACTCATCAGTGTGCATCTGAACTGGTTTATCAATATAATCGGTCCCTTGTAACCGACCAGAAATGGTTTTGCCCTGTATTATTCCTTTTATCGGTCCGACCACCATCACTCAGACAAATGCCTAACGCCAGACAAACGTTTACGCCTTTTGGGAACATGACACTTCAAAATAAGACCCGCAAAATCGCGTTGTTTCCTGCCGGTTGGTGCAATCCTCGGTAGTTCGAATTGTTTATTGTTCAAAGATAGTGGACACACCTCACACTCAGCACCACAATGTCCCTACATTCTATTCCGACATTCGCATTTATGAACAGTGCATCCATTACTGCTACCGTTCTGCTTGTTATGTCATCACCTTGGCCAAAAACAGCAAGTCATAGGAATCGAAAATTTTCGGAAAATGTGACTTACGTTCGAAATGTAACCTACTAGTCTTAATCCACCCACATTCTGACCCATCTAAAGTAACAAAGTGAAGACCCACAATAAATAATGTTTATTTAAAATTGGTCACACCCACTCGGATACATTGACTGCCATTCTTACTGGTAGTTTTCCTTTCAACGGGTCTGTTTCTGCTAATTATATCGTCTACCCTCATGCCAGTAGTGCACCGAAGGTTTCGGCGTACCGATCCAGCGATCTCCACGATTCTCCTTCCGATACCAATGAATATCCATCAACATTTTCGGTTTCTCCGTTTCGAGTGTGTGATCGTGACCGTAAAATAAGTGATGGTGACGATGATGGTCTTCGGGATATTGATTTGTGTCCTCCGTTCCTTGGGACTCGGTACTCTTAGTCAACTCTAACAAATAGAAGAAAAATAAACAAATTCATAAATGAATTTCTATAAGTTTTGATGAATTTGTTAAAAATAACAGCCGGTAATCGGTGTTGTGCAAAAGAAACATTTGTCAATCGGTGAATGCATGCCTCAAAGTTGATGCAGTAGATAGCATACCTGTGGGGATTGGCGGCGAAATTGTGGCCCTTACATACAGTATCCCAATAATCGCAAACAGAATTATTCGGTAAAATGTTTGCATATTGAAGCTAAGTCAGCCAGATGCTGGAACGTTTCGTCAGGAAAGAAATAAAGTAATGAATAATCTTCACACGAGGCTGTGTGTTTATATATTCATTTGTAGTTGATCAATTCACTACTCCTGATTGGTTAATTCTCGACGGGGCGGCATTGGTGGTGGTGGTGGTGGTGGTGGTGGGTGTTGGGTGGTTCGGTGGGCTGGAACTCAACATTATCTAATCGATCCAGCTTTGTTCTCATTCCTACGACCGTGGTGAAGATAACTGTTCAAGGCACTGTTTTGTCAGTGTGCATCAATATCATGTTCGGATGAAATATATGGAACAAATGATCAATGTAATGGTAACTAGGCCGATAAGGTAGTAGTATCAATTTGATCAATGAGCGCAGCAAAATTATATGTACGGTGCATTGGCAACCAAACGAAAATGAAAATTGTGTCATTTGTATGCACAGGAAATTTCCTCCTATCAATGATCACATGTAAAAATAGTGTACCCCGCACCCAGGAAAAAAGCCGCTGTCAGAGACAATTGAGAGTAAGTGCTTGCTTTTCAAAATGACTACCGGACAGAATGAATTACTGTTCCATAATGATTGCACCTATCAAGAGCTCAATCCGTTTGGTGAGTGCAACTCGGACTTATCGCAAGCCAGTAGTTTATCATCATTCCATGCTTGATATCTGTAACCCCGCAGGATAGCTCCAACAATATCACAAAGAATTAAAATACAATCTGGAGGTCAGCTGTGATTTCGGACTACTTCGATAGCAATCTGTCATGGAGGTAAACTTCGCCTGATGCTAGGGAAAAGCATGTATTTTTTTAGTTGTTTCGAAACGGTATACTACATTGTGCATTGCGTTTTCTGACGTTTTTCAGGAATTTGTTCCATGCAAATAAATCAGACAAAGACACTGTGACAGAAACCTTACAGAAACTACCGTGGTGTATCACGTTAGGCGTAACTGACCCGGTTGTAAAGTATTCCCTTAGCGGGTTGCATTGGCGTTATAGATTTATCAACGATTCTATAGCCCTCGGTTGCATACACCACAGGNCACCACAGGATGCGCTATTCGGTGACAATGATTTATTATTATTAATAATATAAACTTTTGACATGTGAGTGGCTTAGGTCATACAGTATCAGATTGCCTGTATGGAGAGATAAATAAGTTTGAATGCGGTGATTTGTGTAAAAATTTATCAGCGTTGATCAAAGACCCAAAGATTTTGCAGAGGAACTCACATTTTATTAAATACGAGCTGTCTTACATTATCTTCTACTGAATACTCATTTTGACGCCTTACGAAGCGTTATTTTGAGATATCAGAATTAGTTTTGCGGTGTAATTCAAGTTTCTAATAATCTGTGACTTCCCCGAAGTTCCACCGATGATACTACCTAGCCCGGCAAAAATAACGTCTGCGAATAACACTTCCAGCTCGAAGAACAGACCACCACCAACATCCATATCCCGGGCTACAGTTGTTCCACATTTTTTCCAGCACTGTAATGTTTAGAAACCGGTGGAACGAAGCCGAACTGCGTTGCGTCTACGACCTAATCCTAACAAGCCAGTGGGTGAGTTCCTTAAAACCCTGAACATTATGTTCATAATCTGTCAAGCATAGATTTGGACAAAGTTCTGTTGAAATTGTTATCTCTGGGACCATGGTTTTGTTGTCCGAGTAGAAAATCAAGCCAATTGGATATGGAGGGAGAATTTGAAAACCGATATACGCGACTTTCCGACCTAGGTCCCTCTTCATCATTGGGGTTGTGAAGACTCAAATCCACCATGGTTTTTGTTTGCTACCACCACCCGAATGTCAAGTTAAATACAAGTGAGCTAGTAATAACAGAACATAGAGGATTACAAGAGAATCAGAATAATAAAGGCATTATTCTGTCCAGACCGGATAAAGGGACGATGATCGTATTGCTAAATCGAATGGACTACATAGACAAGGTGAATAGCATAGTGAGCGATCGGTCGAAATTTGCCAAGTCGACGGAAACGGATAAGACGGCTCAAATTTACCGTTCGCTTTCTAAGATTTTGCAATGCCTAAAAGGGAGGGAAGGCATTGATACGTCCATTTTTTGAACTTATAAGGTCAACCGGACTAATAGTTCGAGGTTTTATGAATTGCCCAAAGTACAAAAAGATTGAGTACCAATACGACCGCTCATCATATCATACCCTGGCAAAATGGTTGGTCAATTTATTAGAGACTGTTCCAGTAAGGTTGGCAAAATACAAAGTCAAAGATATATGTACTTTTGTGAACATAATTCGTGACATAAACTGAGTCGATCGAACAATGCTCTCGCTGGCTTCCGCTCGTTGTTCACAAATGTTCCTATCAGTGAACCGATTGAATAGCTGTACAGTTATGTACAAACCAATAATATGGAGATCGGCCTCCCTTCAGATGACCTAAAGGAATTGCTTCATTTCTACACTTATATTGTTCAGTTCAAGTTTAACTATGAGATCTATCGACAAAAGGATTGCGTAGTCATGGGGTCTCGGCTGGGAACACTTTTCGCAGATGTATTCATGGCGAATCCTGAAAACACTCAATGACAGTCATCCATCACGGACTGGGTACAACACACGCGGCACGGAAATGACATTTGTTGTGCGATCAATGCAACATCGAACGCAACGGAACCACTAAACATGTTCGACATTGCACATCTTAACATAACATTTGCTTTAGAAATGAAGGGTAAGAACAAATCGCCGTTTCTAGATGGCCGCATCACCCGTCGATCAGATGGTTTTGGTGCAGCATTCCGTGCATAGAAAGGCAACTTGTAAGGACCAATACATTCATTTCCAAAGCTCCGTGCCACTGAGGATTATAAGAAACCTGGTTTGTTGCCTCCCGGATAAGGCAAGAAAGGTCTGCAGTGAGGAAACGCTGGAAGAACAACTGCGCAACTTAAAATCGTTTTTTGCACATTACAGGTATTTGGAGCGCTTAGTCAACACAATTATTCAGTGCACGGAAACTCTCAAAACAAAACACCAATTTAAAAAACCGGTGTACATTTCTTTGCTGTTCATAGGGGACACATTAAACAGAAATCATATAAAGAAGATTATCCGATGCAATTGATAAGACTCTTTATGCATCCAAGTTGCTACTGATTCTGTATTCCATGTGGTTTTAACCAGTGCACATAAGAACCAGCTTAGTACCCATAATCTGTGTATTATCAGCAGATTTGTGCCTGCATCATGGAAGCATCTTTGGGTTTCATATAGAAGTCAGGTCATGTGGGTCAATTCCCGTTCATAGTTAGGCATCTTTTGATTGATTAAGCGGTCATAGATAGCAGCCGGTGAAAATGCCCACGGGTACGGATAAGTTTATCATATCACACAAACTCTGTGAAGAGAAAACAAATTCCATGTGCCCATCCAGAACACCTTGTTGTGGGGAAATCTGTCCCATCATCAGTCTGCTATCCTACTCACTGCCTTCTCGTGACGGAGGTGATTGCCCACCAAAGTGAGAGGACAGAAAGCCGTAACCGGGTTGGTAAACCACTGGTAGTTCACCTAAGGGAGTTGGCTAGAGTCCGTGATTTCAAACTAACCAAAAAGAGACGTACAAAACACACCTACCCGGTTTCGGCAGTGTTCATCGGCTCCATTCGTCGTCGAGATGTGTTGGGCTCATTCGACGTTTAACCCTGTATGATTCAATGAACTGGACACCGGCCCCCAAAGGACTGCGGTTTTCACATACCGCCCCGCTGCCTTGAGGGTCAGGCTTTGGCTAGCCGAAGGCTCCGGTTGTGGATTCCGCAAGAAAAGTTAGCATCCTTGGCTCGGGTAACCTGGCAGTATGCACATGCAAATCATGAAACGTCTTTCTTTTTTATAAAGATCATTGTGCCATGATTTGTTTAGTACACAGTCTGGCGTCAGACGTGTGTGCAATATACAATATGTAATCCTACTTAATTTTATACAGCTCAACGGCACATATTCGAAGTGACTTGCCGAGTAGTTCCAGCAAATGTACCTTGCATTATGTTTCCAAAGAATTGTCCTTTATACACAGACTATGAATTCTTGATACTGCTATGAATATGCACTGTAGACGGACCGCATTTCCTTAAACTACCGTGTCTTGGATTCAACAACATACCTGAATACACATGGCAACGGAATATTCAAGAACACGCCACAGTTGCCATCGCAATACCAAAACTAATTATCTGCCGTCATTGTGACGAACATTTCTGTTGCCCGTATTCAACCAATGCTTCAGCCCAAGTCAGACTAACAGTGTTCATATTTTGCGCACCGAATTTATCTGGATCTAAATCTATGGGTTTCACTGCGTACATTCCCGCTGGCATTGTATAAGATATAGGGCGTGCGCTGCATTTCGGTCAGTAGTCTCAAAGACGGACAAAACAGCCTTTAGGCTCGCTCTGCTGGTAATCACACAACTTTTTTTATGACTATATTGGCGTACACACGCTTAATACGGTCAAAAAACCGCAATACAATTTTACTCGTAAGCACATATGTGTTTTTAATTTTAGTAAGTCAATATCTAAAGTGTTTTGCTTGGTAAACTTTGCATCGGATCAGTGGTAGAGGACTGATAAATTCGAAGAAATTAAAAGGTCGACTACTGTTGCTCTAAACCGTATCTTGAATTCTTGAGGCCAACGCACTGCAACACAGCTAGTCCTCCGATCACCACTACCGCTTAAACATGATGCTTTACCGAAGAGGGTTTAAAAAACTGTAAATATATTTTATGTTTTGGTGTTCATGCAACAACTATCTAAACGAATTCATTGTTTCTCTCAGCTTATCTGACTGAGCCTAACAGGACCCCTCAAAACCATTTAGATATTGCTCTCATAACCAAATATTTACCAAGTTATTTCGGCGCTGGTAAGTGGAATGGAATAAAGGACGGTAGGTTCTATGGTCAATGAAGAGTATTTTTTATAAATTCTGTTGGTTTGAAGGCGTTAAAGGAATTTCTGTGGACCCTGATGTGAATTGTTTAACTTGTTTGTACGAAACATTGCGGTGACCAGGTAACTTTAAGGTGTTTTGCAAAGCTAGCATAACAAATGATAGTATAAGTCACCGCCAGTTTTGTCTGGTTACTAAAACGTGTCTGATAACGTGCGCCTATTTTAAAGCTTAAAGGAACATCCTCACATTTATCGGCACTGGACATCAGCGATTGGAGAGTAAATCAACCAAAACTTTTGTTTGAACACTTTCGGACCTGGCGGAAACTGTCAAGATTGGTCGATGGAATAAAGGTGTGTCGGCTCTTTCGACCATACAAGTGACTTGTGACAAAATATTTCTCAAAACACCTTTGGACTTTGAGATGCCTAAAAAGATGCGATAAGCATACCAAATACAGTAACATAGTTTCTTGTTGTAACAGTGGTGACGGCCTAATTCCCTCTATACAAGACAAATAGACCGTTTTTAGTATACCCACAAGCAAACCTTGATTGATCACAGCTGTCCTAATTGAAATTCACTGTACAAAACCGTTTAGTGCTTGCTCAGTGAATACAGAAAGTGATCGAATATCTTTGCGAGCAGAAATATGAAGAATCTCTACTCTAACCGTATATAGGCAATACCTTTGAGTCCTGTCTACTGTCTTGCTCAGTGTAAGCACGTTGGAAGTGATTTAGCCCAGTTCGATTCACTGTCGTCACGTGTCGTTCGCATCCCAACCGATAGTCAACTGGCTTCCCACCGAATCACGCCATCACCTTCGTTTGCTGATCACCACAAACCACTGTGTGAGTCACAAGACCTCCCTCCCTCCGACCAGGCAGATTGATCGCACGTGATTGCTCGGACTCGGTCAACGTAAACTGAACTTGCGCCCCGCGTGACCCAATAACCTTGACCTGTGAATGACGTCATAGTTTTATCCTCATCACGCCGATTTTTTTCCGGCCCAAACCTAGGTCATGACCCTGGGCATTTGGGGTTAATTGCTTTTTTGCATTCTAACGATTGTAAGCAGATACATGTTCAAGCCATCACGAGCTATTCCAAGGATATTCAGGGTTCAACGGCTTAGTTTAAAGAAGAATATCCTCATCATGAATATGTCCATTCATCCTAAACCTGTGCTCATTAGCCATAATAATATTATTCTGCTTATGTGAGGATATGGGGTTCCGACGGAAGACCTGGAAGACAACGGTGTTCCTTGAACATACAACATCCTTCACCCCTGCAGTCAGACACCACATTTCCCCATGACCCCCTTCAGTTTGCATATAAACCAAACAGGTCTACATTACAGCCGTATCCACTCTAGTGCATTTTGTCTGTAAGTCATTGAACTATTCGGTCAAGTCTGTCCGTTGTGCCTTTCTTGACTGTTCGTCTGCGTTTGATTCTGTTTCCCGATCATCCCTTCTTTTCAAACTTGAATCTTTTGGCACTCCAAAACAGCTGCTCTCATGGCTTACCGACCATTTTACACAGAGGTTCCAGTGCACCAAATTAGGAAGGAAGGCATCAAAACCTTTTGTTAATAATTCTGGTGTTCTTGAAGGTGCTGTTCTATCTCCATATCTTTTTTCTGCCTTTATTGGTGATCTTTCGGTCCCACCCCTCTGCGCACATCCAAAAGTATGCTGATGATGTCGTTTTGTCTCAGACAATTTCATCTCCCTCGGGCTTTCATTCTTTTACTGAAAACCTA